AATGTCAGGATTATCAAAGGGTAGAAGGGGCTGCAGCGAAGCTGTCAGGCAGCTTTGAAGGACTATTTTCCCAAGTTGACAGTTGCAAATAGGTGTCAAAGTCCACACACCTCCATACTTCTCCCACATTCTTTCTGCTCGAAGTTCTGAAATTGTGCAGATCTAACTGTGCAATGTGGTGCTCAGATGCCCTAAACCACCCAGCTACCACTCTGAAGCCCCAGAAATTATTTAGGAAACATACACATTTTGTATTACTATCCATTTAGAAATGAATTGACAAGTGCAGATGCTGAGGGCTTCGGCTAGTAACAACTTAACGATGGTAGCTTTGCATGGGGCTATTTTGACTGGGCTAAGAAACTCTGTTATTTTGCGGAAAATTAATTGGAGTTGATTATAACACAGCTTTCTTATTTGATCCAAGTGTCTGCAATGCTTGATTTTCTGACGTTTCTGATGTTTTTCTTTTTTCCTTTTTGAATCTCCCAGCCCGTTAATTACTTGTTCTATGATTGTGTCAGCGACAGCGTACAGCTAAAATAAATAAGTACATTACTAAAATAAATAAATAAGTACGGTATGTTTGTATGAATAAGAAATACACGGCTAAAGAACCAGACTGCTTGAAATTGCTTGGAATTATGAACAATGTAACCTTGACCTACCTATTTTTTGACCTGGCAGGTAAAGAGAATACTTGAACTATGGACTCCGTTGTTGATTTTTCACCCCACCGACAACGATTTTAGCCAGGAAGGCCATGGCCGCTGCTCTTCCCCACTCCGCCGTGACCTCACTGCATGACCCCGTCTCTATGGACGGCCACCGGAGTCCCCATCGTCCCGTCGATTTGGGATCCGCCAAGGAGGCTCTCCTAGGCATTTCGCCATCGACGCGGCTACCATCTAGGCTCTGATGAGCAGCCGTCTGGTTTCATCCTCCTCGCACACTCGATGAAATTTATGCAATGTAAATTTTGTTAACGTATCTTTTTTTCGTTGTGCACGAAGATATAGTTTGATGGAGTTGTCATGAATCCAATGCTTTATTTAGGTGTACCATGACATTAGAGAGTCCAATACGTACCATGATCTTCAAAAAGATGTCATGCACGAATGATGTGCGTGACACGGGCAACAATACCCCTAGTTTCGTCTCTATGTCTATTGTATTGTGAATGAACTTTGTTGTATTGTATGCTGAACATTGTTGTATTTATGTTGTATTTGATGTCGTGGATTTGATGAGTTAATTAATAATTTGATGTTCTGGATTGATGAAATTATTGTTACATTGTTTTGGATTGATTTGAAATGAGTTTGATATTATTAGTTGCAATATGCATGCAATTATGGTGCGATTGTTCCATTTTAGGGTAGCTGTTGGAGCATTAGCGCTCTACTGTTGAAGATTGACGTTTTTTTAAAGATTGTTGTTTTCTGATATCCTAGAAATTACTTTTAGATATTGTATAAAATTTACTTCAAGCATTTTTTTATGCATTAAAATAGGGCGGTCATTGAAGATGCTCTGAAGCAACAACAACCGTGGTGTCCAAAAATCTTCTCTCTCATGCAGTATCTCTACTCCTAATGGAGCAGTTGGTGAATAGTCTCCACGTTTATTTTCGCTGGGTTTTTTCGTCTCTCCTCTCACCCTCCCCTCCCATCCTGGTTCATCGGTTTATTTTTCTCTCCACTCTTTATTACAATCAGAACTTTCCTAACGTATAACAAATCACGGATCTAACTTCCTTAAATTATACAAATCAATCAATTCCTTTTATTGCTTCAATTTGTCTTAAGAAACAAATAACAGATTTTCAGGAAACAAATAATATATTTTAATCTAACTTTCCTAACTTATCTAAATCAATCGATTTCTCTCGTTAGTGAAATTTGTTTTTAGGAAACAAATAACAGACACGTCACAAACTTTCATCCCAATAAATAGTTTCTTAACATTTGCAAACTTTCCTAATCAGACACGTCACAAACGGGCAGGTGCTGATATCACGTTACCAAATAATAAAACCACATTTGCATAGAAATCAGTTCAAAATCCCAACTTTCCTAAATTTTTACCTTTCCTTGATAACAACCAATATTTCCTATGTTTTCCACCTATAGAAGGAAATCACCCCTTCATCGATATTAGCATTTTTTGGGAATGAGATCTCCAGGTTATGATTTTTTTTTGCGATTCTTTCCAATTGTGACCTCTCCTTCCGCTCCGGCTCCTTCTCGCATAAACACCTCCACCACAGCCAGCTGACGCCACCCCAGACCTCCTGCCTCTCCACACCTTCTCCGCCACCTCCTCCTCGTACTCCATTGACAATCCCTCCGCCATGTTTGTCCACGGCGGTGTCGAGGACATGGCGCAGCAGTGTACCAGCGGTAGAGCAGCGCATAGCAGCAGGAAGCAACACGCAGCAGGCGAGGCAAGCGACCGGCGTGGCTGAGGGGGCGGCCGGCAGAAGATGGCCGTGACAGGAGGGGGCGCGAGGTAGGGCGCGGCTGTGGGGCGAGCGAAGGGATAGGCGGCAGTAGATGGGGCGAGCGCAGCTAGCGAGAGTGTGGCACGTGGCCAGGGTGTGCGTCACGCGGGTCACAGTGGTGCGGTGGCTGCGGCGAGCGCGACGGCAGTGGCGGGCGCGATCGACGCGGTGTGGCACAAGTGTGGGCGTGGAGAGGGAGTGGCCCCGCGGGCGCGAAAGAAGAGCAGCAGGCTCGGGCATGGGCGCGCATAGGAGCGGGCATGTGCCACGGGGTCAATCCGAGGAGCTTGGTGGCTACCCCTGCAATGGCCACCGCGGACGGCGGTTCTCGGCCATGGCGAAATACCTAACGAGAGCAAACGAAAGGGGAAACAGGGGAAAGGCAAGAGGAGATCACAGCGGTGTCAATGGCGCCCTAGGGGAAGACAGGGGAGCTCGGGGCGGCGCGGATCGAACGGCAATGTTACGGTGGCCGAAGGTTGAGGAAGACGAAAGCGACGTCGATGCGGGGGTGCTGGACTTGATCTCGTTGGCGCAGACGAAGTAGCGGAGGAGCTCGGAGCTCGGAGCTCCTCGACAAGCTCCTAGCCTGCAGGGAGAGCAGTGGTTGTGTGGACGGGGTCGGTCATGGTGGCCGTGGCGTCTGACTTTGTCCAGATCGACGGGATCGAGCGAGCGAGGAGGAGAAGTGGATCTGGGAGGGGGCGTCGAGGAGTGAGGCCATGGGGGAATGGGAGGCGGTGCGTCACCCTTATCCATTCCCCTTCGATGCCGGCGAGGTGGTCGGGCGGGAGCTCGGCTCTGTAGCAACGCGGCTCGGGGAAATATAAGTTGGGGTGGCAAATATCTATACCTACTATTAAAGGGAATATGTATTTTTGGTTTGGTTTAGTTCTTTTCGTTTGACTCATACACAGGCTAAGCCACCTGGGCCAGGTACTTATATGTTGTTGGGCCTTTTATGGGCTTTCATAGAGACTGCGAAAAATAATTGGGTCAAAATAAATCAACATTGTTGGAATTGAACACGGGACCTCCTGTCTGGATTTTCGATATAACAACCAACGACCTATGCGCCATTCATATTTACTAATCTCAACTCACTCTAAATATATGAGTGGCAGTCCTCATGTTGAGAGCGAGCTAACCAAGTGAATGAGCTAATTAAAGAAAGAATTGTGGGCTTAAATAAAATATTTAAGTTGATGTGGCTAATTAAAGAATGAATTATGGGTAAACCGGTGGAATAATTGAAGCAAATATTGTGGTCTTAATAAATAGAATATTCAAATAGACGAGGCTAATTAAATGAAGGACTTGAGGTAAAAATGTAGGATAAAAGGAAGGATTAATAGGTTTCAATGTGTTGGGGCTGCTAAAATAGAAAAGGAAGGATTTGCCTCCCGACTAAAACGAGTGAGGATGTTATGGTAATTAAAGAAAGGATTATACTTAAATTAAATCAGTGAGATATTATGCCCGGCAAAGAAAGTATGAACATGACTAAATTGCATCATATTTTTTATGTTCATTTTGTAGAAGGATGTTGGGTTGCAGCATGTTCTTCATAGTGAATCCGGTGCTGTGAGACATTATACTCGCACAAAGCATCAATTTTACCGTTGCAACGCACGGGAATATGTCCTAGTAATACACATAATCCATATTGTTATGCACTAGCGCGTGTGCGTGTGAAATAGATGGATTATGATCCTGTACCCAATAAGATGGATATGTGTGTGCGTTAGAGAGAGAGGGAGAGGGGGAGAGAGAATGAGGAAGAGGGAGGAAGAGAGTGTGTGTGAGAATTTGATGGTAAAAAATGCCCTGTTCAAGAATTCATCCGATTAACCAGTTAACTTGCCGATTAATCCCTATTCATAGGGTCCCCGAGTAGCCGATTACCCGATAAATCGTCCGATTAATTGATTAAATGGCCGATTAACTTGCCAATTAGCTTATTAATCCTCTACTCACCAGCCGACCGAGCAGCTACCAGTTAACGATTTCCTCAACAATGAAAAAATGTCGCCAATGTCACTTATATGTATGAGAATATTAAATGTAATATTAACATAATTGATATTGAACTCTTAAAGTTAATGTGACCCGTTGCAACGCACATACGTTTAATCACCTAGTTTTTCATACTCGGTTGAAGATGCTCTTGTATATAATAAAGATCAAAGGCAGGGTCTCATATGAAACAATCACAGCCAAACCGAAGACGACGAAGACGACGAAACGATAGAAAATTCGAAATCAACAGGAGCGCCTCCTCCGAAACCGAAAGCCCCAAACCAGTCCAAACTAGCCGAGCGGCGGCCATCTCAAATCCAAATCCCGCTCCCCGTCTCTCTCTCCCCTCTCCGCCCCGCTCCCCATTTCGTCCACTTCTCCGCCCGCCTCAGATCACAAGCCCTAACCTAGCCGGAGACCAGAGGAGGAGCCCTCTTCCTCCTCCCGACCTCCCCCCTCCAGCTGTTGCTGCTCCGCCATGAACAACTTCCACGTCTACGAGGCCATTGGCCGCGGCAAGCACTCGGTAACCCTCCGCCCCCTTCTCCTCCATCTCCGTCGGTCTCGCCCCCTTCTCCGGCCTCGGATCCGCCCGTATCCGGCCGGGGCTGGCTCGAATGCGAGGGATTTCTGATTGTTTCTGTTTTTTTTTTTCGGGTGGGGTTGCGGTGCGAAGACTGTCTACAAAGGGCGGAAGAAGAAAACCATCGAGTACTTCGCCGTCAAGAGTGTCGACAAGTCGCAGCGCTCCAAGGTCCTCAACGAGGTGAGCCAGCCCCTCCTCTCACCCCTATCCGAACCCTCTTGACCCCGCCGCGGCCATTTTGGGGGTCTTTGGGGGTATTTTTGAAATCGAAGGTTGTGCAGGTTTGCATTGGTTTAGGAGCGGCTTCTTGGTCTGGCGACCTGTGTTCACGTGCTGATGCGTGTATGTCGTGATTCGCATAATTTACTTGATAAAGCTTCCGTGGCTCCAGGTTGAGGCTTGGTACAATGTCAGTATTTGATTAAGTGTTGTTTGCCGAAGCATTTCTGATTTCTGGTTAGTGTTCTGCTTGAGAAATGACGCAGTATGAAGGGGAAACTGCCCCAGGCTAGATGTAACTGTGACTAAGATAACGATAAGCTTGGAGTGCTGTTTTTCTCTTGCCACAAAGTGACACCAATTCTTATTTTTCAAGTGCTGGACAAAAGATGAACTTCCTAATAATTTTGCACATAGTTTGCTTCTCATACCCAATTATAGAAGAGATGTGCCCATGAAGATAAGTTACAACCTGTGCTCACTAATGGATGCTGTTGACCTATCAGCAAGTGCTATTCTTTCATCGGGTTTGTACTTAAGTTTTTGTTATTGTCCCTTCCAAGGACCCGTTTTTCTTTTGGATGTGCCTTTGTCTATCTGAGCAACTGCTCAGGGTAAATATAAAAAAAGGTAGATAAATTGTTACCAGATAGAGAACCATTCTCAAGTTTCGTAAGCATTCTTAGATGTTCTATCATAAGTTTGATCAATGCTTATGCACATAATTTGTTTATTTTTGCTTTGTTCCGTTGTGCCAATGATGCTTTTGAACTTATATTTGCAGGTCCGGATGCTTCATTCTTTAGATCATGCAAATGTCCTGAAATTTTACTCTTGGTAAGTTTCCAGGGATTCGTATTGACTTATTGCTTTGGCCTGTGCTAATTTTCAAGTATAGCCTGACAAGTACTTTGCTATTCTTGTTGAGGTTATCCTTATTGTTCACTTAACACTTGACCACCGTAGTGCATACCATAACTATATCTTGCTTTTCTCCCTAGGTATGAAACTTCAGCACATTTTTGGCTGGTACTGGAATATTGTGTTGGTGGAGACCTCAAGGGCTTGCTTGAGCAGGTATCTTGCTTATCCTTTTAAACAATGCATGTATGTCTCTAATTTGAAGAAGGGAACACAAAGCATCCACTTGCATACGTTTGTAACCGATATATTCTGCAGATATCACAGATAAGTGAGAAAAGCTGCACCTAAAATTTAGGAGCTCGGAATATTTGAACTAGAAGTACAAGGAACAAAACTTTACGTTTCATTAGCTTTTAGGAAAATTCCACATGAAACTTTATATCACAGCTTGCTAATTGCTCTTCTAAGAGGAATAGATGTTTCACACAATCTTGTTGTTGTTGCTATTTATAATTGTGTACCTTCAATCTGACAACTTGAAGTTGTGAATGCTACTAAAACTATTTTTGCTTGAGAAAACTATTTGTCATTACATTGAAGTATGGTCAGCCCGAACCAGCTGCTTTTATGATCTTAATTCTATTTTTTCTTTTATAGCATTTATGGTTTAATACTTTGTGTTCATGCACTGAAGTATGAGCTTTAGTCCCGTTTGTGCTCAGCTTGGAAAAGAATTAGACAATTAACTGTTTCAAGATGGGAAACTGGAGTGCTGCTCTCATTTTCTCCACTTGAAAACACTCAATGCACGCTGCATATTCTTTGGCTCTAAGAAATGCTTGATTTATCTGCTATCCTGATAATGTTGCTCTATTGTTTTTAGTAGTGTATTATATTGTTGCGGCGTAAAGCTTTTGCAAGCCTGTTTTGCCAGTACTTGCCTTTCATCCTAGGCAGGCGACCCACATAATTCTCTGCGGTGATTGTTTGTGTTCCAGAGACCTGTTGTGAGTAGATATGCAGACCTTCTTACTATATGTAACATCAGTGAAGACAAAATGCTACCCCATTTTTCTGCTTGCTTGTCATCCTACAAACACGTGTTGATAAGGGCAACCCACACAATTCTCTGTGGTGCTTGTTTGTGTTCCAGAGACCTGTTATATGACATATGCAGACTTTTACTATATGTAACATCAGTGAAGACAAATGCTACCCCATTTTTCTGCTTGCTTTGCCTCTATGTATTCTGTCTCATGTCTATTTTTATGCAGGATAAGAAGCTGCCTGAAAGTGCCATGCATGACCTGGCTTACGATCTTGTCAAAGCCCTCCTGTAAAGTTTCTTTGATAACCTCGTTTCAATATATCTATTGTGTTACGGGTGGACTTTGATTGACTGAAAACATGTTGGGTGTTAGGTTCTTGCATTCACAAGGAATTATATATTGTGATCTGAAGCCATCTAACATCCTACTTGATGAGTTTGGATGCATGAAGGTAATCAGTAGACCACTGTGAAATATGTAAGTACAGTAACAGCAAAGGAATAGAAAATTGTTGGGAGCTAACAGTAACTTCCCCTTATTGTTCTAGCTGTGTGATTTTGGATTAGCAAGACGTTTAAAGGACATCGAGAAGACCGACCCTGGAGATGTGAGGTCCCATTTCCTTTTCTTCAAGCATTTCGTTTTGTTCGGTTTTATCTTATTTTAATGATTCCCTTTGGTTTGAACACATGTCCTTTAGGTGCCACAACCTATGAGGGGGACACCATGTTACATGGCTCCTGAGTTGTTCCAAGAGGGAGGGGTCCACTCATATGCTTCTGATTTCTGGGCTCTTGGTTGTGTGCTATACGAATGCTATGTAGGAAGACCTCCTTTCGTGGGCCGTGAATTTACCCAGTTAGTCAAATCCATACTTTCAGAGCCTGCACCACCTTTACCTGATAATTCGTCAAGGTCTTTTCAGAATCTGATCAACTGCTTACTCATGAAAGACCCAGCTGAAAGACTACAGTGGTCTGAACTCTGTGCACACAACTTCTGGAGAAACAGTATGCCAATGATTCCGTTACCTCCTCAACCTGCCTTCGACAACATGGTTGGACTTCCCACTACACCATATCTAGCTGAGCGAAATGGGGATAAACCCTCCAGACAGCTGACGCCACCCAAGACTCGTGAACACCTACGCAAGAAAGATGAAAATTCTGCCAAGATGTTCACGACCCCTGTTAAGAATGTGCTAACTGGTAAGAAAAATAATGCAAAACCTTGTAAGGCTGATGGTTTGAAGGGTGTAAATGTCCTTAGAATGTCTCGCATAGCTAAGAAAAATTTGCAAAGGGAAAAAGACAAGGAGAACTACAGGCGTCCTCCCACAGAAACAGACGAAAATGAGGCTGAAGTTAAGATAGAAAATAATGACATGGAGCTTGATTTTGGTGAAAATCCAGAAGGCGATGCACCTGATGATAATGATGGATCAGATAATGTTGGATCCACAGCAGATGAAAAGCATACGACCGAAGGAACTGATGGAAATGAAGAGAACTGCATAAATCAGGTGGATATGCTCACGGATGAGTGTTCTGTTAAGCCTGATACCATGTTGAAAGCTGAGCAGAACTGCTCAGAGAATCCTGATGTGGTGGCCACTCCACCTAGTTTCTGTATGAGGAAAGCACGTCCGAAGATAACTTCTGGTGCTGCAATGGGTTCTGAGCCGTCTAACATCTTTGAAGCATTCTGGCATCCAACAGATCTTGCTGTTAAACCAGTTATGCCCAGTAAAAAAGGAGATAAAGCTACTGAGACTGTCACTGTGCTTCCTTTTGAAGCTCTCCCTGCTGCTGATTACATCAGGTTACCACGAGAACAGATGAATGCATTCCATAGCCAGATAATTCAGAGTTTGAGTGGATCTTTTCAGGTTTCAGAAAAACAGAATATCATCAGATACCTGGAGTTGCTAAGCATGAACTCTGATGCTGCAAATATAATCACTAATGGCCCAATTATGTCATTGCTTATAAAAATGCTTCGACTATCAAAAACTTCAGTCTTGCGTGTCCAGGTTGCTTCACTTATGGGACTGTTGATACGCTACTCCACTATCCTTGATGCAGAGCTAGCTAGTTCAGGAATTGTTAATGCCTTGTCAGATGGCTTAAGGGACCGGCATGATAAACTGAGGAGATTCTGTATGGCAACACTTGGAGAATTACTGTTCTACATATCAACTCAATCTGATCAGGATAGCAAAGAAAGCAATGCCCAGGAATCTCCTATGAAGGACAACAAAGCTGGTGCTTTGTGGCAGGTTAGAAACTCCAAATGAAAAATATGCTCTACATGTTTATTTGCATGTCAGTGGTTGATTTACCTGGACTTACCTTCTAGTATTACCCTATACTGCATCACGTTGTGAAAAGAAAAGTTGTGGCGGTAAGATACTGGAAATTAGATTCCAACATCTTTAGTACAGTAGTTGATACTGATTCTTCTATAGGAGCATATTCCCTTTGCCCACCGTAATGTACTGAAGTAGAAATTTATTAGAAGTTGAAACTGTATTAACTGCAAGAACTAAATCCACACATAAACATAAACCAGTGTATAGCCCACACTAGATATTTTAGTGAGTTTTTTTTGAGAATTTAGTTAAGTAGAAATTTATTAGAAGTTGAAAGTATATTAGTGAGTTTATTTTGAAATATTTTTAGATAAAGTTTGCGTTTTAGACATAGAGTTGCAAAGTTCATATGTTGTTGAAGTGCATAAACAAATTGAAATGGTAAATTTTGGTACATTAGTGTTCTAGCATAGTTAAGGCAATTACAATGGTCACATCTTTTGGGAAGTTAATAAGAAGACATTATTTTAAGGGGTGTTTCTTTCCACGAAGAGACATTTTTTCACCAAGGGACATGTTTTCCATAAGAAGACATTCATTCACCAAGGGATGTGCCTTTCAACTAAAAGGACATGACTGTTCGTAGGCCCTGTTAGAGTTATAATATAAGTCATGCACCCCTTTGTATTTATCCCGTTGTATAAGGGGTTTCCTGCATATGTTCCACACCTGTACATGTATATATATCGGCCTATGGCCTCATGGGAATACAAGTTGCATATTTCCTAACATGGTATTAGAGCTAGGTCAATTTTTTGCACGCTGCAACTCGTGCTGTTGATCCACCTTGCTGTGGCCGCCGTGACTACCCTATCTGTGGCCGCCGCTCCTTTTTCTCTATCACCGCTGCCTCTCTGCGCCTGCTGATCCCCCCGCAGGTCAATCCCAGCCGGCGCGTGTCCCCTCGTCCAGCCCGCTTGTGATCCATCCCAGCCAGCGCGCAGGTCAATCCCACGCGCTCCTCTGGCCCCGATCGAGCCGACCGACTGCTGCTGCTCTCCGCCGCCAGGAGTGCCGCCCGTCGCCGATCTTTGTTGTCCTCGCGCCCTCGCGCCCTCGTCAGATTCTGCCGCCAGCCGCCGTTCCGTTTCATCCGCTCCTGTGAGTCAGATCGAAGTTGCCACCTTCCGCCAGTCCAGATCAAGCAGCCGCCGCTCCAGTCTTCTTGTTGCACGCAAGCTGCTGCAGATCGAGACTCCTATAGTCTGCCTCGGAAAAAAAAAGAAAAAAAAGAAAAAAAAGGCATGATGTCTCAGTCCTCGGGTTATGTTGCTGTCCCTCGCTGTCCGGTGATCTTCGATGGTACTAACTACACTGAGTTCACTGGCTTCATGCGCATTCACATGTGTGGCATCCGTCTCTGGGGTGTTCTTTCTGGCGAGGTCTGCTGTCCGCCACGTCCGGTTCCTCCGGTGGCTCCTATTCCGCCGACTCCACCGGTTCTTCCTCCGGATGCTAATCAGGCCGCCAAGGATGCGGCTAAGCTTGCTGATGAGGCTGCTGATCGTGCTTATGATGAGAGGGTTTTGGCTTATGAGGAGGCTCTTCAGACGTATCATGGTGCTCTGTCTGTTTACACCCAGTGGCTTGATGATGATGCTCATGCTGCAGCTGTTCTCACTGCTAGTGTTTTGCCTCAGTTTGCTTCTGAGTTTCTGGGTCTTCCTACTGTCTTTGAGATGTGGACCCGTCTTCGTCAGCGCTATCAGCCCTCTGGTGATGCCTTATACCTTTCTGTGGTCCGTCAGGAGCATGCTCTTCAGCAGGGTGACTCTACTGTTGATGACTTCTATGCACAGAGTTCTGCTATCTGGCGCCAGCTTGATTCTCTCCGCAGTGCTGGTTGTCGTACCTGCCCCTGTTGCCAGGCTGTCCAGGCCAATTTGGAGTTTCATCGCGTCTATGAGTTCCTGTCTCGGCTCCGTAAGGAGTTTGAGCCCCGGCGTGCTCAGTTGTTTGCTCGTGGCCGTATTTCTCTCATGGAGGCGCTTTCTGAGATTCGTGCTGAGGAGACTCGCTTACGTGGTGCTGGTTTGCCGGAGGTTCCCTCTGTGCTCGCTACTCGTGCTCCTACGCCACCTGCTGCACCGACCCCTTCTCGCTCGAGTGCTCCGCCGCTCTTGCCCACTCCTTCTGGAGGCTCAGGTCGCCCCCGTCCACATTGCGACTATTGCAACAATGATGCTCATCTTGAGTCTCAGTGCTACACGAAGAAGAAACACCTGCGCAAGGCGCGATCATCATCTTCAGGGACTTCGTCATCTACCTCGACAGCTTCAGCCATTGCTTTGACTGACCAGGATATTCTGAAACTTAAGCGTCTGCTCGCGGCTTCAGGTTCTTCCTCGACGGGTACTGCTGGTTCTGTGACTGATACTTCCCGCATTGAGCAATCACCCTCTACACAGTCAGGTACATCCCCATGGGTTCTGGACTCTGGAGCTTCTTTTCATATGTCTTCTCATTCTTCCACTTTGTCCTCTCTTCGATCACTGGATTCTCCTGTTCATGTCTTCACTGCTGATGGTACTCCACTTTCTGTTGCTAGTAGAGGCAATCTTACCACTCCTTATTCTGTTCCTGATGTTGCTCATGTTCCTCGACTTACCATGAATCTGTTTTCTGCTGGTCAACTTACTGATTCTGGTTGTCGCGTCATCCTTGACGTTGACTCTTGTTCTGTCCAGGACCGTCGCACGCACACTCTGGTTGGGGCTGGCCCTCGCCGCCGTGATTCTCAGGGTCTTTGGGAGTTGGACTGGCTTCATGTTCCTTCCGCTGCCACCACCATCGCCAGTTCTTCCGCTTCTGTCGCCTCCGTTACTGGTTCCTTCCAGCAGTGGCATCATCGACTTGGTCATCTGTGTGGTTCTCGGTTGTCTTCTTTAGTTCGTCGAGGTCTTCTGGGGTCTGTCTCAGGAGATGTCTCTTTAGAGTGTCAGGGTTGTCGTCTTGGCAAGCAGATTCAGTTACCATATTCACATAGTGAGTCAGTGTCCAAGCGTCCTTTCGATTTAGTCCACTCTGATGTATGGGGTCCGGCCCCTTTCGCTTTGAAAGGTGGTCATAAATACTATATTATTTCATAGATGATTTCTCTCGTTACACATGGCTTTATTTCATGACTTCTCGTTCTGAGGTGTTGTCTATTTATAAGCATTTTGCTGCCATGGTTCATACTCAGTTCTCTTCACCCATTCGTGTTTTTCGTGTTGACTCCGCTGGTGAGTATATCTCTAAGATGTTGCGTGGTGTTCTTGCTGAGCAAGGGACTCTCTCTCAATTCTCTTGTCCTGGTGCTCATGCTCAGAATGGTGTGGCTGAGCGAAAGCATTGACATCTTCTTGAGACGGCTCGTGCATTGATGATTGCTACCTCTCTCCCGCCTCATTTTTGGGCTGAGGCCGTCTCCACATCCACCTATCCTATCAATATACAGCCTTCCGCTGCTCTACAGGGTGGTGTTCCTTTCGAGCGACTTTTTGATCGTTCTCCCGATTATTCGATGCTTCGCTCGTTTGGTTGTGTTTGCTATGTTCTTCTTGCCCCTCGCGAACGCACCAAACTGACCGCTCAGTCTGTTGAGTGTGTCTTCTTAGGCTACAGTGATGAGCATAAGGGCTATCGTTGTTGGGATCCTATCAATCGTCGGATGCGTATCTCTCGAGACGTGACTTTTGATGAGTCTCGTCCCTTCTACCCACGCCCATCTTCCTCGACTTTTTCAGTGCATGATATCTCTTTCCTCACTTTTCCTGACTCACCTATCACCCCCGTCGAGCCTGTACCTCTTCGTTCCACTTCCTCTCCTTCTCCACCTCTAGTTGATTTGCAGCCACCATCCTCCCCGGTCTCCTCGCCTAGCATGTCACCGGGTTCTCCACCTTCATCTCCGGTGACTTCCTCCCCGGTCTCCTCTCCCAGCATGTCACCGGATTCTACACCTTCATCTCCGGTGACTTCTTCGTCGCCACCCCCCGATTCTACCTTGACGATTCCTCCTTCTATTATTCCATCTTTTCCTCAGCATTACACTCGTCGTCCATGACCAGTCGATGCCTCTGTGGATGAGTCGTCATCTTCCTCTCAGCCTACTTATGGCTTGCGTTCTCGTCCTCGTCCGCCTGTTAATCGCTTTGGATTTCCCATCGCTGGTGCTGCTGTTCTTGAGCCGACTTCTTACCGTCAGGCTGTTGTTCATCCTGAATGGCAGTTTGCGATGGCAGAGGAGATTGCTGCTCTTGAACGCACTGGTACCTGGGATCTTGTTTCTCTTCATCCCGGAGTCCGTCCGATCACTTGTAAGTGGGTCTACAAGGTTAAGACTCGCTTCGATGGTTCTCTTGAGCGTCACAAAGCTCGTCTTGTGGCTCGTGGTTTTCAGCAGGAGCACGGTCGTGATTATGATGAGACTTTTGCTCCTGTGGCCCATATGACCACTGTTCGTACACTTCTTGCCGTTGCCTCTGCACGCCACTGGTCTATATCTCAGCTTGATGTTAAGAATGCCTTTCTTAATGGTGAGCTGCGTGAGGAGGTGTACATGCAGCCACCACCTGGGTATTCTGTTCCTGATGGCATGGTATGTCGTCTTCGTCGCTCTCTCTATGGCCTTAAGCAAGCCCCCCGCGCCTGGTTTGAGCGCTTTGCCTCTGTGATCACTGCTGCTGGTTTTTCAGCAAGTGCTCATGATCCAGCATTGTTTATTCACCTTTCTCCTCGTGGTCGGACTCTTCTTCTTCTCTATGTTGATGACATGATCATCATGGGGGATGACCCCGAGTATATTGCCTTTGTAAAGGCCTGTCTTAGTGCGCAGTTTCTTATGTCTGATCTTGGACCTCTTCGCTACTTTCTTGGGATTGAAGTCTCTTCTACCTCTGATGGCTTTTTTATATCCCAAGAAAAGTATATCCAGGATCTTCTTGCTCGTGCTGCTCTTACTGACGAGCGCGTTGTTGAGACTCCTATGGAGCTCAATGTTCACCTCCGTGCTACTGATGGTGCTCCTCTCCCTGACCCGACGCGTTATCGTCATCTTGTTGGCAGTCTTGTCTATCTAGCTGTCACTCGTCCGGACATCTCTTATCCGGTTCATATTCTGAGTCAGTTTGTCTCTGCTCCCACCTCGGTTCACTATAGTCATCTCCTTCGTGTTCTCCGATATCTTCGAGGCACGATCTCTCACCGTCTATTCTTTCCTCGCTCCAGTTCTTTACAGCTTCAGGCCTATTCGGATGCTACGTGGGCTAGTGATCCTTCAGATCGCCGTTCACTTTCTGCTTACTGTGTTTTTCTTGGTGGTTCTCTCATTGCCTGGAAGACAGAAGAAACAGCTTGCAGTTTCCCGTTCGAGTGCCGAGGCTGAGTTGCGAGCAATGGCTCTTTTGATGGCAGAGGTGACTTGGTTCCGGTGGTTACTTCAGGATTTTGGTGTTTCTGTCACTACACCGACTCTGCTCTTATCTGACAGTACAGGTGCTATCAGCATTGCGCGCGATCCTGTGAAGCATGAGCTCACCAAGCATATTGGTGTTGATGCTTTCTATGTGCGCGCTGGTGTGCAGGATCAGGTTATTGCTCTTCAGTATGTGCCTTCTGAGTTACAGTTGGCGGATTTCCTGACGAAGGCCCAGACTAGAGCACAACATGGCTTTTATCTCTCCAAACTCAGTGTTGTTCATCCACCATGAGTTTGAGGGGGGGTGTTAGAGTTATAATATAAGTCATGTACCCCTTTGTATTTATCCCGTTGTATAAGGGGTTTCCTGCATATGTTCCACACCTGTACATGTATATATATCGGCCTATGGCCTCATGGGAATACAAGTTGCATATTTCCTAACAGGCCCAACTGTTAAGATCTAAGACTTGATTGATCCTCAATATAATCCAACGACTGCAATTTCAGGGGTGATGTGGCTTAACGTGGATGCTGCATTAGGAGTATGTTTTAGATTAAAGAGGGAAGGGATATGCCTAGATAGTAGATATCGACTTCACGTTCCAATACATATTCTTTTCTTTATTCATCTGTCTAGGCACAAGTCTATTATGAATGTGTGCGTTGAGCTTTTGCAGTTATTATAAGTACATAAAAGAGTATGTATTGGAACATGAAGATATATAACATATGTAAATATCTTAGTTGTATGTGGTCATGTAGCGTAGATATACATATGAATGGCTCCTTCCTTATTTGCAGCTACAGATTCAAAGTACTGTCTTCTCGTGATTTAACTTGGCAAACTTTGCAGGTTCCTAGTTCTGTAATCGCACTAGTGTCATCTATCTTGCGTAAAGGGGAAGACGATCTAGCCCAGCTTTATGCCTTACGGACAATTGATAATATATGTAGCCAAGGAACAGATTGGACATCGCGGTTTGCTTCCCAAGATGTAATTGGTCATCTTTGCTACATCTATAAAGCAACTGGGAAGCAAGAGAATACAAGGCTTATTGCAATTTCTTGTTTGAGCCGCCTAGCTCGATTCAGTTCGTCATGTACTCATTTAATACTGGAGAAGCTAACATTTAAGGATATTGCATGCACACTCCTTAAGGGCAATCCACGTGAGCAACAGATAAGTCTGAATCTTCTGAACTCGGCATTAGGGAACAGTCATATCATACCAAATATGAGCCGCTATATTCTGTCATTAACTGAGGAGAAACAGTTGGTCCCTGGACTTATTTCTCTGATAGAACAGGGAACTGACATTCTGCGTGGGAAAGCCCTTCTATTTGTTGCTCTTCTTTGCAAGAACAGTCGAAGGTGGCTTCCGCAATTCTTTTGCAATGCAAAGCTACTATCAGCAGTCGATAGATTGGGAAAGGAGAAGGATGGTTTCATTCATCAATGTACAGAAGCATTTGTTCAGTTAGTTGCTTCGTTGGTCCCAGGCATTCTTGACACTGTATCCAGTGATATACAGCAGGTCATGGGTGGCAAACGTCATGGACCTATTACTGCTTTAACTGGACGTGCTCATCCAAAGAGCACAATTCATTTGTTCCCTGTCATCCTTCATCTTCTTGGGAGTGTATCCTTCAATCACAGAGTTGTGACAAGTCAAGTATTGCTCCAGTTGGCTAATCTTATGAAGATATTGGAGACACCATTTCAGGTATCGCGCGCAATGCTGATCAGTCTTTGCATTACGCAATGTGTTCACTAAACTCCTGTCTTTTGTGATAATTTGTGTACACTTTATTGTACTTCCAGGCTCGGGATGATTTCCAAATGACATTGCTGAGGGTTCTTGAGGCAGCTACGGAGGAGCCTTCTGTTATACTTAGGGAACACAAAATATTCACAAGTCGATTCCTTCCAAGCTTATCCATCTTATACAAGGGCAATAAAGATTGTGATGCCAGATTCCTGTGTTTGAAGATACTGTCTGATGTGATGATTGTGATCTTCAGCGATTCTTCATTGACTGCAGATGAACAATGTTTAGCTGACCTGAAAACAATCTCTCACAAATATTTTCTCCCAATGTACCCTTCATTTGCAGAGGATGAAGATCCAATACCTATGTATGCACAGAAACTTCTAGTAATGCTGATGGAACATGATTGTGTTAAGGTATCTGATATCCTGAATGAAGCGACAGTATCCCAGTGCTTTGAATTCTTGCTTGGAGATCTTTCAAATGCAAACGTAAGCAATGTCAAGCTTTGTTTTGCTCTGGCATCTGCTCCCGACATGGACTCCAATATCCTTTCGCAGCTTCAGGTTGTCAGAAGAATAGGGAATCTACTTGAGTTTGTGACTGCCAAAGATATGGATGATTTTCTGGAACCAACCTTGGAACTGTGCAGAGCTTTCATTATCCGTGGCACCGGCAGCAACAGAAGTATCGTCCTCAGCAAAGAACCTGCACTCCTTGTTGATAGCGCCTTCAGCATGAGCATTGCTGTCGATCAACAATCTTGCATCATGGACATATGCGACCTTGGTGGCAGTATGGCTATATTTCTGGAGGTGGTTGGAAATTCAGATCCACAGATAAGCGATTTGGCGTCAGATTGCGTGGTGTTGCTGCTCAAGGCAGCACCTCGAGAGGCCACAATGGGCCTGCTGACAAATCTTCCTAAGCTGAGCGCTCTTCTGGACTCGTTGAAGCATGGCGCCCCCTTGCCGCTGACTCGCCTGCTATACAGCCTAGCATTCTCTTGTAGGCAATACCTAACCCAAGGAATGATACTCTCAATATCAGTGCCAGCTCTGATGCGAGTAGAAGCGCTTGTGTCGTCTTTCAAGGGCTCACAGGATAGCTGTCTTGCTGATGCTGCTTCGTGTGTGGGTGCCGAACTGCAGCGCCTACCTCGCTGTGGTTGAGCAGAGATGTGGTGAAGGAACCCGTCAGTTGGCTGCCATTGCATAAGTGATCTTAATAGGAGGGTCTTGGCTCGGCTTGGTATCTCTGGCGCCAAGAGTATGAGCAGGGCCATTGCCTCAGTTGCTACTGTCTGGCACGGGAGTGCTGTCCGTGCGCAGGGCACCGTTACATGTTATGTAATCTTTATCCGCGATGATGTGGGGCTGCTGTATATGGTACTTTTGGCCAAATCTGTATTCGCCTTGCCAGTTTTGGTTGGCATGTAGGTTTTCAGTTTCATGTAATTCCCTAGTTGCGCATCATGATCATGTATACAACAATACATTTGTCTTATTTCTGTTACCAAGCAAGTGGTGGAAATTTCCATTGTTTAGATCGCTACGAAGTCCGTATAAGCAACTTTTGCTTCAGTGTCTATAATGAAGCATGCAATTTATCTCTTGTTGGGTTTTGCTGCGGGCCCAGGTAGGCAATAACACACGATGAGGCCAAAAGAGTTCAGTTTCCATGATTGATCATTTGTTGGCATTGGCTTCCCCTGCGTGCGCATAGTGGAGCAGAGGCGACGAATAGTTCAGACTTTGACCACGTCCTTGTGGCCAGTCAATCTCTTCTTGTAGTCATTACCTTTCGGCTCTCCGGGGGTTATCCCACGCGGTTCACATGATGTGGACGCATCACAACAATCAAAGTCATTACCCAACACGGTGTTTGTCCTGTACCCCACCCGACTTGGCAATAAATCTTTTTTTTTTTGCGAATGACTTGGCAATAGCTCTCGTTCACAGAATTAAAGAGGGAATGTGTTTTTCCTAAAAGGAAGAGATAGAGGACGGCTCCTTTTCTTTTTGTCTTCCGGGAAGAGACGACGACTTAACAGATGCACGTCCTTATCTTGCCGAAGGAAATTTCGGCATTTCTTCTTCTTCTTCTTCTGAAAATACACACAAGCGTGCGTATCACATATTAGAGAAGGAGAGAATAAAACACCCAATAGCACTGTCATGATCGAGCGTGCGGATACAACTAATCCACTATGCAGTTAAGGCTCACCGAGACGAGCGCCATATCATCATCCGAGCTTTTGACATGCGTCGCCGTGCACTTACCATGGTTGTTGGTTGATCCTCATCCCAGAAGCTACGCCTAAATCCACCAGGATTGCCAAAAATACCTCCACGTCTAGCTCCCATAGATCGAGGAAAACCATAACATCATCCGTGAGGATCAATAGTCTTTGGAACACGGCGGCACGGTGGCCTCTGAGAGTGTGCCGGACCGGTGTGTACCCCAAACCTGACAATGTGGCTTGGTTGGGGCCTCCGGCTTTAGATGTTAAGCTATGGTGTGAGGTCTGTTTAGTATTCAGCTCGGACTATCGGCATCCCTTCATCACATGGATAGCCGTAGCGACAGATTGCCAAGATGGTAACTTTAGACGTACTGATGTATTACTTTGTAAGATCTTTGTGAATAGTTAATAAAATAGTTGCATGTATCGCCCAGATGCAGAGGCCGGGGGTCTTCCTCCTTTTTTAGAAAAAATAGTCTTCGGAACAAGGTCGGCTTAACAAATAGGCCAACAACCCCACATGAAAGCATGAGCGAACATGCGATGCGAAATTTCCATGGCCAAGATGAATACCATCGCTAACAAGGGTCTCTCTGCCCCAATCCACGCCTATTTTTTTAGAACAACCCCGGGGGAGGGGAGGGTGTTGGTAAGACACAAATGGCGCCTGGACAATGAACTCACACCCGGCCTCTACATAAGGATGCACACATCCACACTAAGGCACGCACACGAAAACACGTTGGCAAATAACAAAGTCACATGGGATCAAAGTTATGCGGAGATGAGAAAAAAAATCAAAGCAATTAGATCTGCAATCGGCAAACTATAACAATGAGTATATCCACACCAATCATCTCACGACATCACACATACGACGAGATTCGTCAATAGCAATGCCTTTAGAAAGGGAGCGAAAGTGTGTTTCTCACCGGATCCAACCAAAGCATATTAGTGACATGACATAGTATTAAACTGGATGATACACCGCGTGTTGGTGTGGGAACCTTGCTAAAATAATGAAAATAGTTGCTACATAAACATCTAAAACTAACGAAAATCATATGAGCTTAAAACAATATGAAGCGTATATTGTAGCAAAGAAAAGTCATTTCTAACAAAATGGGAAGGATGAACTCTAATAAAAAAATTAAATTTATGACTAACATGCATGAATTGATGATGTGACAGCATTGCATGCATAGAATTTAATGCAAACGTAATTTATGGCTCACATGCATAAGTTGCTTATGTGACATGGTTGCATGGCTAGAAAAAATAGATAGTGGGTTGTAGCTATTTAGAAAAAGAAGACGGAGAAAGAGCTGATGACTATGTTATCATCATATAATGCTTCCTAACAAAAAATGAGTCTACGAGCTAATAAATAAAATCATACTCCCTCCTTCCATCTATATAGGGCCTAATGCGTTTTTCAAAACTAACTTTGACCAAATGTTATAGCAATAATATATGACATGCAACTTACACAAAGCATACAGTCAAATTCGTATGTGAAAGGAGCTTTCAATGATATAATTTTCATATTATGCATGTCATGTACTATTAATCTTATCAATAGTCAAAGACGGTCTTAAAAAGCACATTAGGCCCTATATAGATAGAAGGAGGGAGTATATGACACTACCTATATGTTACTTTGCATTATAAAGATAGTAACATAAACTAGTGTTATATATTACATGAGACATGAGCCTTTCTGAGAAACATGTACTCCCTCCGGTTCTTTTTACTGAGCGTATTAGATTTATGACAAGATAAAATTTGATCAAATTTATATTGAAAAATATTAACATCTATAATACCAAATATAGATACTATGAAACCACATTCATAAGGGCATCTCCAACGCGGGCGCTAGCCCCGGACGCCAGGATTGATTCCCCAGCCGTTACGGTCATATCCTGGTCCATCCTGGAATTTTATCTGGCATCGATGCCTACTGAGTAGCCGGGCGCCAGCGGAAGATTCAACATACCAATAGAAGAAAAAATCTGCACAAACGCCCATCAGATCGTTCTTTGCGTTGGAACGTGAGGCGCTAACAAAGCCACCAGATTAAAATATTATTTACTTCTATATTTTAAGCGGCGCTTTGCATTGGACATGCTATAATGAATCTAACAATATTGATTTGGCTCCCTTGAGAAACTGCACTTCAAAAACGACCTCCAATGCATTTAGGTATCTTCGTTGCGACTTGCAAACCCCCACACGACTTGCCTATAGCTCTCGTTCACAGAATTAAAGAGGGAATGTGTTTTTCCTAAAAGGAAGAGATAGAGGACGGCTCCTTTTATTTTTGTCTTTGGGCACGAGACGACGACTCAGCAGGTGCATGTCGTTATCTTACCCAAGGAATTTTCGACATTTCTTCTTCTTCTGAAAATACATACTCCCTCCGTCCCATAATATAAAAACATTTTTAACTATATTAGTATCAAAAACGTTCTTATATTATGGGACGGAGGGAGTACAAGCTTGCATATCACATGTTAAAAAACAAAGAATAACCTCGCAAAAAAAAAAGAGAACAAAACACCCAGCCTGCGGATACGAACTATTCCACTGTGCAGCCAAGGCTTGCCGAGACGAGCGCCATAATATCATCTGAGGTTTTGACCGGCATCACCGTGCACTTATCATGGTTGATCCTCATCCCGGAAACTATGTCTAAATCCACCAGGATTGCCAAAAATACCTTCACGTCTAGGTCTAGCTCCTACAGATCGAGAAAGACCATGACATCATCCACAAAGATCGATAGTCTTTGGCACAAGCTCAACTTATCCAACAGGCCAACAACCCCACATGGAAGTGTGAGCCAACATGCGATGCGAAACTTCCATGACCAAGATGAATAGCATTGCCGACAAGGGTCGGCCTGCCGCAATCCACATCTGTTATTTTCTTTTTTGGAACAACCCTCAAGTTTTATTGCATGGTGTCAATAAGAATACAAGCCAGGGGGCGAGAATACAGACACGAACACACACTCTGTCTCTTCATAATAGGATGTACACAACCAATACTAACACACACACACATAAAACACGGGAGAATATCACATGATACCAACACTTATATGCTCCCATGATACCAATTTAAAAAATAATCAAATTTAAGCGTGTCAAAAAATTCCAAAAAAAATCATAGATGTTCCCAACATATGTGTCTACAAGCCCTAAAAAATTCAGATCCAAATTCAAATTGTGCAATGAGAAACAAAAAAGACAAATTCAGCATGAATAGTGTCAATAAAGACAAAACATGAATAGTGTAAAAATACATTATTCCCAACAGATTTGTCTTTTTTGTTTCTCAATGTGTATATCGAATTTGGATCTGAATTTTTTAGGGCTTGTAGACACATATGTTGAGAACATCTATGATTTTTTCGGAATTTTTGACACGTTTAAATTTGAATTTTTTGAATTGGTATCATGGGAGCATAGAAGTGTTGGCAAATAACAAAGTCACATAAGACCAAAGTTATGCGTATGTGAAGAAAAAAAAAGCAATTAGATCCACAATTGGCAAAAACTACAATAATAACCATATCCACACCAACCATCTCATGACACTACTAAAGAAAACCCTATAGGCATGCGCTTAATAGTGGCGCGGGCTAAGGGACCTGTGTTGCTATTAGTTAGTACTTAGTACTAGTGCGGGGTCAGACACTGAGCTACAAGTAGAGAATAGTAGTAGCGCGGCCTGTGAAACCCGGCGTTACTAATAAGTGTGCCCCACGCTACCCCCCGGGCCAGGTGATAGTAGCAGTGCTGGGTATAGGACCCGTGCCAGGTATATGATATCACACAGACGATGAGGTTCTTCAACAACAATGCCTTCAGAAAGGGAGCGACACTCAAGTGCGTCCATCACCGGATCCAACCAAGGCAT